TGAAGGCCTTAGATTCTGAATTTAATTTGACTTAGCATGGATAAAACATGTCTAGTTTACCTTTAGAACCTTAATTTTCTCATTTTTTAATAAAGGCATATGAATGTGGTATATATGATTTAGCATTAAATTCAATATCTATTTTACAAGTGGAAAATTTATTCTACTTTTAAAGGGGAGCCAAAGAGAGTTTGTAAAAAATCTTAAGTAAATTTAAAATTGCAAATTCTGATCATTTAACTAAAGCTAATATATTAAGGAAATATGAAGAAACTTAAAATAAGAAAAGTTTTTGTAAAGAAAATAATCTTAATCATAAAACTTTATAAAAAGCAATAAGTGTTAAGCAATAATTAAAAGATTATATGAAAAGAATAACTAAAAAAGAATTCGAAAAAGAGGATTATGATAAATTTAAATAAGTTCTCTCTGAGGCTTTAATGTTTAAACATGCAGTTTATTCTCCTTCAGATTAAGCCTATAAATTAAAAGTATTAATTTTAAATTATCAAAAGCAAACAAATTAATTAGCATATATTCATCCAGAATCTGTCTTATTCAATTAAAAACCTAAATATGTGATTTATAATGAAGTCATTTTAACTAAGAAAGTATATTTAAGAGATGTTACAGAGATTGATGAATTATGATTTTATTATTGTATATTTAATTATTATTATCGTTAATTTTATTTTAAACGATCACATTTTTCGATTTTCTATGAAATAAAGATATAGCATATCTGAACCTCCTTTTAATAAATTGGAGTAATTAAGATAAAAATTTCAAAAATAACTCACTAAAGTTAACACAAAAGGATATGTAGATTGTGGATTAGGGAAATTAATATAAAATGATATTGGATCAAGAATTTCAGTCATAAAAAATTCATTCTTAGAGAAATTATCAATCAATTCATCTGAATAAGATGAAAGAAATCTATTAAAGTCAATTTAATTTGATGTTAAACATGCTATTTAAAGATATTAATAAAGAATAGAATAAATTTCATAACTGTAAGTTTAAAGAAATTCAATGAGATCATGTTCTAAAGAATTAGTTTAATACTTTACAACACCTTAATAAGATAAATATCTATAATTTGATACATAAGAATAATCAATTAGATCTTAATATGATAGTCATAAACCTAAAGATATTATAAGTATTAGCAAAGAATAAATAAAGTAGAAGAAAGACATATTAACTAATAAAAAATCAGATAAGACTTTTAAAATTATATAAGCTAAAAAGAAAAAGGTTGAACCTGTAAAAAAAAAATAAAATGATTAATCTCTAACAGGTATAAATATACTAAAAAATTAATCATTAAATAAAGAGAGAACAATTAGTTAAAAGTCAACTAGACAACCAAGTGTTAAAGAAATATCATTAAATTTAGAATAAAGAAGATCAACCGATAGATTATCAAAACACAATAATACTTCTAGATAAAGAAATTCTGTATTATCCAGTCACTATAATCAAAATATTAAACCAATATAATGAATCAATCAAATTGTTATTATGATTAATTTTTATTAGAAATTCAAAATCTACTTTTTTTTGAATGAGATGTATGTCTAGTATGACTTGGGGATGGTAATGTTAATACTCTCGCAGTATTATATCCACTTGCTGGATATGAGTACATGGATGTTTAATTTGCTGTATTTTCTCTAATTGAAGCAAAACTTAAACATTTTGCATTCTTCTATCTTTTTATTGAATCTAAGATTGGAGCTATTTCTATAGGTTCAAAATAATTTTTAATTGCAAATTATTAATTATATCTAATTATTATTTATTAAATATTATTACTTTTTAACATCAGCTTATTTGATTTATTCAATTGATATCTTTTTTATTTATTTGAAATTATCAGCATCTAAATCAGTAAAAAATGGGTTTCTAAAAGTAATCTAATTTTATATAATATTTGATCTTAACTTTCTACAATTTTCTTATTGTTTTCCACAAGATTTAATTGTTCTTTATTTTTTAGGATTTTATTTATTCTATTCATCAAGTTCTCTTATGCTAATTTCAAAAAATCATTAAATATAATTACTTATTTCAGGCTAATAAACCAATTATAAACTTTATATTTTAGGTTCTCTTCTACAAGTTCTTTCTGCTGCCTATAAAGCTTTTTTACTATAATCATCTCCAAGTTATTCAAAAGATTCACATGTAAATTTGTATACAGTAACCTTTTAAGTTAAACAAATAGCTTAATTATCATATGGTTAATTCTTTAAGACATTTTATACTCCAAAAAGACTCCCAGGTGTTAATACCATAATTGGTATATATATTTAAGTAGAATTTTTGCAAATTTATTCTAATTTAACTTCACCATCAGAAAGAATGTAGAACCCAGAAGCAATTTCTCCCTATTTATAAATGCAATGATTTTTGGGGAAGATTTGAATTTACAAAAGATAAGCAAGACGAATCAAAGAATTTTGGGATAATTTTGGAAATAAAGTAGCCAAAGCATTTGTTTTCAAATTTAATTCTCTTTACATATACTATATTCTAAATAATTAAATTACATTAGTCATTTTTGCATAATTGTCTTTACTTAAACTACAAAGAATAACTGTTGAGGATTGTGCTTTAATAGTAGCAAAACGAGGCTTATTTAATGAGAGAGCCAATTCACCAAAAGTTTCACCTTCTTTGAGATGACCTATCTTTACATTTTAGTCCATAAAAATTGATTCTGACAATGCAGAATTTGGTTCATAATTCGAATTAATATTTTTTCTGTATACACCTACATTACCTTAAAGTATAATATAAAATCTATATGATAAAAAATTAATTTACTTATCTCCTTTATCACCCTCTCTACAAATTATTTCTCCACTTTTGAAAGTTTCTAGAGATAAATAATTAGAAAATTCTAAAAGTAAATGTCGAGCATTTTATTTTATTTTTTCACCTCTTAAGAATTCTGCAAAAAACTTTATTTACTCTAAAGCTTCAGAAATTTAAGCTTTAATTTCATTAGGTCTCTTTAAAGGGTCAGGATAATTAGATAAAGCATGAATTAATACTTACATTAAATTATCTAATATAGATATATATCAAATAAATTGATCCTTTATTTCTTATTTGATTATTTTAATTGATTTTCATACTAATTAAGTAATGAAATCTTATAAGAGATGTTCAATATACTCTTATTAATATATTTATAAATAAAACACTTACATTCAAATAAACCAAACAACTCAAAATACAATTATTTTCAATAATTTAAAAGAATCAATGCTGTTAAAACAAATAATTCAAAAATTTTAGTTTATATCCTTGTTTTGATTTATGTCATCCATAAATTTTTAATTAAAAAAAAGATTCCCATAATTATGAAATCACTTATATTCATCAGCTTACTCTTGGCTACATCATTAGGAGCATTTTAAGAAGAAGACAATGTGTTAGTATTAACCACAGATACCTTTTAAGATGCCATTGACACATTCAAATTTATTTTGGTTGAATTTTATGCACCCTGGTGTGGACATTGGTATAAGTTATATCTTATATAATAGCAAAAAATTAGCTCCTGAATATTCTGCAGCAGCAGCTGAATTGAAAAAATAAGGAGGTGACAATTACGTGCCATTAGCTAAAGTTGATGCTACAGCTGAATCATCCGTGGCTGAAAAATTCTCTATCCAAGGATATCCAACATTAAAATTCTTCATTAATGGTCAACCTATTGATTATGAAGGAGGTAGAACTTAAGCAGACATTGTTGCTTGGATTAATAAAAAATCAGGTCCACCATCAAATGAATTAAACTCAGTTTAAGATTTAGAGAAATTCTTAGAAAGAGTTTCTTCTTCACCAATAATAGTATTCTTCGGAAGTTAGGAAGATGACAACGATTTCTAGACATTTAAGGCTGTGGCATAATCAAATGATAAAGTGACCTTTGCCCACATTTTCAATGCTGAAGCATCAGAAAAATATAGCGTATAAGGAAAGATTGTTCTTTTCAAATCATTTGATGAGAAGAGAAACGATTTCGATGGTTCAATCACTAATGCCTCTTTAGAATAATTTATTAATGCTCATGGAAACCCAGTTTTATTACCATTCAATGACAAAGCTATTAATATTATCTTCTAATAAAGAAATAATGCAGTCCTCTTATTTACAGATGATTCTGATGCTGGTGTTGCTGCTTATGAAGTCTTTGCTTCAGTTGCTGGTGCATTCAAAGATAGGTATTATATTAATTTAAAATTTTAGAATTAAATTCTCTTTCTCTAAACCTAATGATGGTTCAGGATTATTCCATAGATTAGCAGAGTATGTTGGAGCAAGCACTGTCAATGTCCCAAATATTATGATTTATGATTAATAAGGAGGAAATGCTAAGTATAGATTTGAAGAAAGCATCACTGTTGATTCCCTAAGAAATTTCTTAACAAACTTCTTTGATAATAAATTAGATAGATACATGAAATCTGAAGAGATTCCATCCAGCAATGATGAACCAGTTAAAATAATAGTTGGAAAGAATTTCAAAGATTTAGTCATTAATAATGATAAAGATGTTTTGGTTGAATTCTATGCTCCTTGGTGTGGTCATTGTAAATAATTAGCTCCAGTTTATGAAGCATTAGCTAAAAAGTTATAAGTTAATCCAAATATTATTATTGCAAAATGTGATGCTACTGCTAATGAAGTAAATTTAATTAAAATAATATTTAGGTTGAAGGAGTTTCTATTGAATCTTTCCCAACATTGAAATTCTGGAAGAATGGATAGAAAGATTAAGTTATTTCTTATAGTGGAGGAAGAGATGAAGCTGGATTCATTAGCTTCTTAAAAGAAAACACTTCTCATCCTTGGGTTGATTTAGATAGAGTTGAAGAATTATGAGTGTATTTTCATTGTATATTCATATCATAAATCCAATATGTATTTTAATTCAAAAAAAATACTTGTTATTATTATTTTCCCAATACCACAATTATATGGGAAGCGCTTAGTGCTGCACCAAATAGTAATTAGAAGAAAAGGAAACTGAAATATAAATAAAATAAGATGTTATTATGAAATAGTCAGGAACTTAATAAGAGTATTTAGTATTTGTTAATCATATAAATTATAGCAATCCATTACCCAAAAATAAGTTATCATCTCGAAAAAGCAGTCCAGATGAACCAGGAACACCAGGATTTGCTGATCTCAGATCTCAATAGAGTAGAAAGTCTGAGTAACATCAATCTCATTCTTAAAAAGAAATATAATTAATTGGGTAGTTGGAAAAACATGATAGTCCTTTTAAATCATAATGTTCAATAGGAAAAAGAAAGAACGATTCCCCTGTTTGTAGTTTTGAAGCTACTAATAAATTAAAATCATTAGACAGTAATCGTATAAAGAAAATACAAACATTTGAAGAAAAAGTAAATAGCAGAGACCTATCTCCAATAGAAGATGATGGAATGTTGGATAGCTAAAGAAGCAAATAAGCAGATGAAAAGTCTGTTAAGAGTATATTGAAATAAGAATTAAAATACAGTAAGTTTAGGAAATAAGACACTACATTTGATGCTGGGTAAAGAAAAGTTTAATTTTATATTGAATGAATTAAAATTGATGATAATATATCAAATGCTATAATTTATTCTCTATTATACATAATATTTAAATCATTTAAATGAAAAGTATACAACAAAAAAATACTATCTAACAACAATTATTTTAGATTAATTTAATATTATATATGAAATAAATCATTGAACTGTTTGTCTCATTTAATCTAATTCTGATAACGTGTTTTTACTTAACATTTATTCATGTCTAAGCATTTCATCAATAATTCCTTTTTTTGCTTAAGATTTTTCTTTCATTTATTCTAGTAATGTATCCTAATATTCCTTATAGATTTTCTTTTTCTCAATATCTCTTTCTTTTTCAAATTAAAAATAATTAGTAGTATCTTCTTTCCATAATGTAGCCTAATATTTTATAATTTAAATACTTATTCTTAATCCTTTAATTTTTCTCTTTATTTTTAAATTTCTCTTTCTTCCATTTATTTATTCAAATATTCTCTTGTTTTTAATTTAGTTTCCCATTTCTTTCTTTCTGCTTCCTTTTCTAATTCTTGAATTCTTCTCTCTTTTCTTTATTCATACTTATCAGCCCTTTTTTCTAATTGTCCAATTTTTTCTATTTATAAAAATATCTATTATACTTTCTAATTCCTTTTCTTACATTTCCATAGCTTTTTCTTAATATTATTTAATTTTTTCATCCCTTTCTTTTATTGCTTTCTATCTTTCTTCTTCCTATTTATCTAATAATTTGCAATAGGCATCCATTAATTTAATGTTCTCTTATCTTTCATCTTCTTTTTCTTTCTCTTGAAGTCTTTTCTTCTCTTCATTTTCAGACATTAATTTTTACATAACCTAATATTGATGTTCCTTTTTAAATTATAAAAATTTTTATTCATCTTCTAATTCTTCTCTTACTTTCTATATCATATAACTGTCTAAAGCCTTTTCTTATTTCTCATCCATTCTTCTATTTTTTTTGATTTCTTTTACTTATTAATCTCTTGCTTATTTCTCTACCATTTTAATATATTTAGCCTAATTATATATAGGATATACTTACTCTTTCTATTTTCTCTTATTCTTTTTAATCAAATAATGTACATTAATACATCTGATTTTCATAGAATGCATTTTCTTCTTTTTTGCTCAATACTTTTTTTGATTATTTTTCAATAACTTATTTATCCAATTCTTCTTTAATCTTTTTCTTTCTTTCTATTTCCCTTTACTTTTTTATTTCACCTTCCTTATCATAAAGATATTTATTGTATTTGTATATGGCACCCCATTAATTTTCTTCATTCAAAAATGCCAAGTCATTCTCAATTTTCTTTGTATGTAATCCAGTCATTTTCTAACTCTTCTTTTCTTCTGTATTTTTTTCAGTTTTATGAGTATATTAATCTACCATATCAAAATTTGATGCTCCTGACATTTTTGAAACAACTGATTTTTAATCATCTTCATCTTTTTACTTGACTTGATTTGAAGATTATTATTATTGTAATTAAGGTAAAGCCTTTTAACGACTGATTTCTTATTCTAAATTTTATATCCTATATTTATAATAAACTTAAATACCCTTCGGCAGTTATAGTTTAATTTTGATTAAGATAGCTATTTACTTTTGCATGTATTTATTCTGTTAAATCTAAACCATACTTCTTAGATAATCTATCAGCAATTTGTCTTTTGATTTCTTCTCTTTATTCTGAAGTGTAATTTTTGCGAGACAATGTCGATTACCCTGCTGATTATAGTTTATTTTTTGGATAAATCATTTATTATATATAAATAAATATAAATTATTAATAAAGACTTACTATTTATAAACACCTTAATCATTCATTTTTTAATTGTAAAAATAAATCACATTCTATTGACTATGATTATCAAAAATGTAATGATCATAATCCTTCTAGTATTTAGATGTTAATTTATGAGTTCTAAGAAATTGATGTAATAACAGAAAACTTAGTAATAAAATTTACAATCGCATAATTTATTTAAGTATAAAACTTATCATATTTTCAAATCTAATACAATAACCTAAAAGACAATAAATATTGTTTTAATAAAAATGATATAAATAAAAATCTTGGATTTATGTATTTTATTATTTTTTTACATATTGAAAAAGAAAGTATTAACTTTATTGAAAACTATATAAAATTACAACTATTTATTTTCATAAGATTTGGCAATATTTTAATATTATTTAAATTCTTAATTTCTTATAATTGGTGTATGTAAAAGGATTTAGATGAGATAAAAGAATTATGTTATTTTTTAATATATAATTGAGAAATCTACTCATTAATAATTATATTAGTATGATAGAAAGATAATAATATTAAATAAATAATTTATTCATTATTTTTGCTTTTTAATTAAAAAATAATATATAAGTTGATTAACAGTGTTTTCTTCCAAATTAGTTTGATAATCATGCAAATAATAATTTTTCTAAAACTTTAAGTATAATCTAGTCTTTGGGTACTACGTTTACTCCATTTAAAGGCATTCTTCAGATTTTTTAAATTCTCCTTATTAACCCTTTAATTTCGAAAGTAATTCTACACTATAATTGATAATTACAAAAATATTGTAAAGTTAATTAATCTAATGCATTTTCAGATAATTTTTTCAATGATTGGTTTTCTTTAAAAGTATACAAATTTGTTATGGCTTCTATTTATTAATTCATTTCCTAATGTTTTTTTAAAAATTATAGATTATTCTATTAAAATTTTGAGTATTTGATTAATAGGTCTAATGATTTGGTGATATAATTTAATATTATTAAAAACAGTAAAATAATTCCAATTGCAAGAATACTTAAAATTTACATATTTTGTTAAAATTCCCAAGCAAATAATTAATATATATCTTAATTAAGTAAATCAACTTAATGATAAAGTTCAGTTATATTCTTAAATCTATAATAATCTAATTAATTACATTATGACTATATGAGGTGGATAAGGAGGATGTTCAAGTTATTTAGCAATTATAAGAACTTCTTATTTATACAAAGAATTATATCTACATAAATAATTTGAAACATCTTAAGAGCAATTATTTAGAAATTTGTAATTATTTTTATTTGAAGTATCATTTGTTTGATTAATAAATATAGATATCTAATCCCAATCAATTTAATTGAATCCAGTGATTGACTCATTAAAAAAGAATACAGGTTTTGTTGTATTTTCAGGGTAATTAAATTATCCTAAAATGATCTAGCCTTTATTATTAGCTAAGATGTAATCAGCATTAAAGTTTTTTTTAAATACTCCAAAATCCATAAGATTAAAAACCACACCATCAAAATTATTATTTTTATTAGTTAAATTTTAAGATATGGCAATAGTGTAAGAACCTAAAATGGTTGTAAATAAATCACTAAATTGGTATTAATTTCCATTACCCATTTATTTTATGTGACTTAAATACCATAATCGTTAATGAGCATTATAAGATAAAGTTGAATTCAAAGCTGGCCAAGTCCCTAAAATAGGAACTTCATCATTTGATGTATAAGCTATGCCTGTTGCAATAAATTGAGATGGATCAAACATTAATAAGGTTTCATGAAATATTGAAATGACTTAAAATTACTTTTTGATTTCTGTTTATAGAATTGTATAATTTGTTTAATCATATTAATATGCCATAAGACAAAAAAGAGATTTAGATTCTGTTTATGATATATTAGGAGGACAATAAAAAGGAATCTAAGTTTGAATAATCTTTTGATTCACATCAACAAATAAATAAATATTTTAGAACATTCTTTGTTTTCTGAAAACTAATAACTTATTGATATATATATACTCTAATTTATTATTGTTTTTAATCTTTGATCATATTAAGCTGATTGACTAGTTAATTAACTATTAGTTTCCTTAATTAATACATTCATTGAATCAGATAAAAAAGCTTCTTTCATGTAATTAAAAAGAGTTAAATTGCTTATAATTACGATCGCCAACACAATGATGACAATTATAATAAACAACACAATTATTTATGTTCTAATTCGAAAATTTGATAAATCCATTCTTGACACAATAATAATATAATATATGAGATAAATGTTATTTGAAATTTCCAAACTATTCTAAGCCATATTCTCAAATTATAATAATAATAAATCTATGATGATAAAAAAAATGAAACAAATGATAAATATCATTTATAGTATTGAAGTCATATAACATCTTGGTGATTAAATATTTTAACTATTCCATCAGCTCCACCTGTTGCAACAAATTAATTATTACTTGCTATTGTATAGATTCCTTCATCATACTTTTATTTATGTGCCTAAATTAATGAATTAATAATTATATTTACTGGTATTTCATGTAAACATTAGAATTTTCGAATATCCCATGTTCTCATACTTCCATCATGACTCACACTTGCTAATTGATATATATTCTTTGAGAATAAACATAAATCAGTAACAGCATCTGTATGGCCAATTAGAGTTTTACATACTTTGCTTGAATTCAAATCAAAAAATCTAATTTTATTATCATCATGACCAGAAACAATATATTTAAGTTCATTATTAAATAGAATTTTATTTGGTTAAGCATAGGCATTAAATTAATTGTCAAGATCAAATCTAATTTATTAAATTGCTTTAACAGTAGTAACATCATATACAATGAATGTTAAAGTATCACTATATCCACAAATGATATTTTCATTAAATCCTTTACAAATCCATTCAATAGCTGTTGGTATGGATAATCCAGTCATAGATTTCTTAAATGTAAAATTAGCTAAAGGATTTTACAACATTTCTAAATTTAAATTCCCTTTTCTTATTAAATCATATTAATAACAAACACCAAGAGATTTCCACATCTTTACAGATCCATCTGCAGAAGATGATAACAATCTTTAATCATGAGGATGATGTTTCAAAGACCATATAACATCTGTATGAGCTCTCCAAGAAAAACATTAATTTGTTGTTACTATATATGTTCTTATAGTTCCATCAACTCCTGCAGAATACAAATGTATTTGAGGAGACTTATAATATGAAGTCATTGTAAATATTGGTCGATCATGTTCTATTTATATAATATATATTATTTAATTTACATCTAATAGTTTAGATAGGTTCTAAATGAGTCTATGCATTCATTTATTAAATATCATTAATATTCCATAATTTTATTGTACAATCTTCAGAAGCTGTTACTATATAATTATTTTAAAATAAGATTGATCTTACTCCATCCAAATGACTTCTTAATTATCCTTTTGTTGAGAAGATTTCTTTTCCAACAATTATTTCTCTCTCTGTCATACTCATACTATTTAATTCATTTTAGCTAGTTTCTAGAGTTTGTTTTTTCCTTTATAATGCAAAGTTTAGTAATTCTGAAGCTCCATTACTATTACTTCTTTGATGATGATGTTTTTATCTTTATGAACATGTATTATAAGTATTCTGATTTATTAAAATTTAATTTATTTTTGCACTTTATAGTAACTATAAATTTATAGGTGAATGAATTTATATTTAATTTTAAACTTAATCTTCTTGAAACTCTTCATTTTTCAATTCTTTAAGAAAGCTAAATTTATTATATTAATTACTTTTGTAGAAGAGGTTTCTTATCCTTCTATAATATTTTTTCAATATTTGGTTGAGTTATTAACTTTTAATCATTCATTTCACTTTTTAAAAATGTACCATTATCACTTTTTACACGATGATGAAATTTTTTTTTAGTTTGCAGCTTTATATTATCTGCTATTGGTTTTAATTAAACCTTAAATTATTCTAATTTTTCAAGCCTTTCTATTAGTTATTTGTTCAGATTCCTCTACTCTTCCAATTATCCCTTCAATTCAATTATTGCAGTCTGTTTCATATCAAAATAATAATTACTTAATATTCTTGTCTTTCTTTTTTCCACTCCTCCTCTCTATCCAATACTTCTCCCTTTAGATAATCAATAACATTATTAAAGTTCTACATTTTTCAAATTAGTATACGAGGATGCTAAAATGCTTATATAAATATATAATTAATAAAAATATTCAATAGTTATTTCATTATCAATATATAAATTATGAAAACAAAACACCTATTATTATATCATATCATATCATAAAATATTCAAATTTACACATATTTATATGATAAATTCATTTTCAATGATGTTAAATTATTAAATTTATTATATCAAGTTGGTAGAATAACACAAACATATTACTAAGTTATAGATTGTTATAATATAATATGAGGAGATTGTAAAATAATAAAGTTTAGAATACTATAATTATTAGTAATTAATATTAGGAATTACATAATAATTTTTAGTAAATAAAAAAATATTCGTTAATGAGCTAATTTACATTTATGAAGAAGTACACATAAAAATAATCATCTGAAACTAAAATACACTGTGAACCTTTAATTACTTTGACTATTGAACTTGAAGATAATAAATATAGTCAAATTGACATATATGAAGATTCTAATCCAGAAATATTAGCATCTAGTTTTGTTACAGACAATTACTTAAGTATGGCTTATATTGAACCACTCAAATAAAATATTATTCAATAAATGTTGATGTATGATTAAATGAAAGTAATTAAATCCATTAAAACTATAGAAATAAGAAAAAGAGAAGTAACCTCTTTCATAATGGGAAACTGTTAAAAAATAATAATAAAATAAGGAAAATTAATAATCAACACCAACTCGTAATTTAAATACAAAACGATATACTCCTGAAAAATCCATATAAACTAATTTAAAATCAGAAAGAAATCTATCAAGAAATAAAAGGTTTTAAACTGATGATATGAATATTCATGAAAGACTTTATTAATAAGCTAAATAAATTAATAATTTCAAATAATAAAAAAGAGAATATGAATAATTATAAAAGCAAAAAGATCCAAATCTCACATTTAAACCTAAAATTAATAACAATTATTAAACTAATAAGAGTAAAAGTCCACAATCTAATTAAAAATAATTTTACATTTAGCCAAATCAATAAAAGCAAGTTTAATTAAAAAGTCCTAGACTCAATTAATTATATTAAAATAAATCATTTGAGTTTTTATTACCAAAAAAAGAAGTTAAAATTTCTATTCTCGAAAATGAAGAAAGTGTAACTTAGTTACCTAAAACATAAGATTCTCCAAATGTATCATTTTCTGAGGAGAGTTAGTTTAAAAATGATAGTCCTTATACTTCAGCATAAGAAGAAAATTCATTATATTAAGCAACTAAAGATTCAGATGAAAGAATAATAGCAAAATTATTTACATTAATTGAATCAAATAATTTAGTTGATGCTCGTAATATTCCATATGAAAAATTTAATTATTAACTAATTGTTGAAATTAGATTACATTTTCAAAAAAATGATTTTAAAATAATGAATTTTGAAGAATTCTGTTAAAGTTTATTGAAAAATACAAAACTAATTAAAGTAATTATTCTATTATTTTTTAGCTAGCTGCTGATTTTTTTAAATTTGAGAATGTTCAATATTAAAATACTTGTTATCGTTATTGAATGATATAATACTATTTAATAATAAAAAATAATATTTTTATTTTTGCTTGTAGTTTTATTTGATATCTCTTTTATAATACTTTTATTATTACTCTTTTTTTTATATTCCAAATTATAAGAAAAATATATTATTCATTTATTGATGGCAATATACTTCAAAAAATAGATTTTGATAATAAAACCTAGTATTTAAAATGATGATAATCATAAAATTTTATAGAATTATCTTAAAATCCAATTATATTTAATGAATAAAAGATCAATAGCATATTAAGATAGAGATCAACCTTAAAAAATGAATTATTAAATAATAATCATTATCATATTAATTACAATAAATTCAGATAGGCCCTTAACCTAAAGAAGAACAATCTTTCATTATATCTCAACATATATTACCTTATAAATGAAGTATTCTTTAAAAGTATGTATTATATGTTATACACAAATCAATCAGATAATGACTACAAATATAAACAAGAATATTTCCAAAAATAAAATTATTTATATATACCAAGAATTTGATTAATCTAAAAAAATAATTCATTTTATTTTTCAATTTTTCATTGCTTAATTTGCAGAATCAGTCTAATAAAAAATATAAAAAATACATTTTCATGTAATTAATCTATAATTCCATTTTATTCTTTAATTTACTTACTTAGATTTTATGATGAATATTTAATATTAAGAACTTTATCATTAATTTTATTTAAATATTCATCAATAATTTATCCATGCAACTTAAGAGTATCCATTTATACAAAACTTTCATAATTCATTTTTTTTTCTAAAATAACAACTAATTTACATTTATTTTAGATTAATTATTATTGTAAATGAGTTATATGACTTTATTCAATTCTTTTTTTTATCTCTTATCGTTTTTATGCTAATTCATTATATAGATTTCTTCTTTTCTAAATTTCTTTTGCTAATAAATTACAATTTTAATTAGCTGTATATCCTTTAATTTCTTAATCCAACTAATCCAATTCATTATCTAATTTAAAATCTGATACCAACCTAAATATTTTAATGTTGAATTGATTTCTGCATCAATAAGTCATATCGATTTACTTGATTATTTCTGTTTTTCTCTTGTTTGTAAATCTTTTTGTATTTAATTTATTCTTTTAGAGGCATTATATGCAAGTTCTGTAAACATTTAATATTGGAATTTAATATATAAATTATAAATTATAAATCTCTACAATATAAATCTGAAAGAATTTATATCATAGAGATATTGATTGTATAAAAAGTTGAAGTTTAATTTAGTTTCTTTAGATTTTTATGAGTTGAACATATTTACATAAGTTTTCAATATATTATTATTAATATTTAATATAAAATGTATAATAATTTTGGTGATGAATAATACAAACTTAATAAGTGGTGTCAATTTATAGACTAAAAGATTGCTTAGTTTTTTAATAAACATCTATTAAAGCATAACATAATTAAAGACTATTATTAAGATTTTATTAATACCTTATCAATAATAATAATTAGATTCATATTAAAAACGAATGATAATAAATTACCTACTCTTTGTCTTATTTTAGTGATAATTCATTTACTATTTACAATCAAATAGAAATTACGTAAAGTTTAAACTTTATTAAATCACCTAATAGATGTATTAATTTTGATATCTATGTAAAACTTTAGTAGAGAAAATGATAATGAGTTCATTATAAGACTTGCATTACAAATAGGAATTTAAACTTCTAAATCTATGCTATTTTAATATGATTAATTTAGTATGATTTTTTAGAATATTTTAAAAATTTCATTGATTACTATCATTAAATGGTATTTAATCAAAGATTATAAGTAATTTATAATTTTATAATAGTACTTTTAAAATAATTATTTTGATGACATTTATGATATTTTATTAAATAATTCAACTTCTTATTGTTACTTCCTATTCTTATGCATATAAAAATATATGGATTAATAATGAAAGAATGAAAAAGAATAATTAAATGATTGAAAAACTACTTTATGAATTACCTATTGGCATTATTTTATTTAATTCAAATGGAGAAGTGTAATTTTAAAATTCAATTTCATATAAATATTTACCAAAATCAGTTGATTTAGTAACAAAAAAATATAATTTGAATACTGTTTAAAAGTATAGTGATTTAATTCTAATGGAAGGAGACAAAGCAAAATTTTAGAAAGTTTTTGAAGAAACTTTAGAATCTACAGATCCAATTATAATTTCATTTGCATTTTAAGGTCATCCTATACCAATATGTTGTCATTTAAGAAAATAAGTTTTCAATAAGAATTCAATTGTGGAAGCAATATTTATTGAGAAATCTGATGATTAATCCTTAATTTATGATAAAATATCTTAGAGTTTATAAATTATGAAAATCTAATAGATATCTGAAATTCTATCAAAATAGCCTGATAGAATCAAGTAGCAATTATTATAGTCTTTATTCCCTATGTTAAGTAAGACAGATTATTAAAAGTCTGATTAGATTGTATGTAATTTAAAAAATTACTTTAAATTTTTTGCTGATTGTTTATAAATTATTTATAAAACAAATCCTCATTTAAAAATAGAGAATGATGTTCCTGATCAAGCTTTTATTGATATAGTAAAGTTACATAGTATATTAACTTAATTAATATCTTATATTTATCAAGAGCATCATAGAAAGTAAATGATGTAAGGTTATTCATCTTAAAATTAATTGATTTAATAAAGTGAAAGATCAATTTAAAGAGAAATTAATAATTTTTCTTTAATATCATTTAATATATCAAAAGGAGATGTATTACAAGTTACAATCTAAATAGATTATCATAATTAAATTTAAGAATTAGAGTTGTTATTTTAAAGATTTGACTTCGAAGGACTAAAAAGTTATGATTTTAGATTGTAACAATTATAAGAAGAAGATTTATCATACACATCATTTATTCATATTTTACATTAGATATATTAAATAGAAGGTCAAATAGAATTATGTGAAAGATTAGATAATATAAAGATTTAAATCAATATTCCAATGAGAGTGACAAATGAATATTAACCAGTTCTATTAGATCATTATATTAGTATGGGTAAATTAGATCCTCAATCAAAAATCTATTCAATAAATAGTGAAATATTTTAAGCTTTTAGAATTAAATCTACAAAGAAAATCACTTCTACCTAAAGAATAGCTCCTTAACCGGCTTCAAGAGTTAATGAAGAAAATGTTAAGGTTTAAACATCCTTAAGTGAATAAAAACCATTTTAAATTTGTAAATGTTTTGAATATACTTATCGACCAAATGTAATTAGTGAAGAAGAGAAATTAGAATCTAATAAAATTATAAGTCCTAATTTATCACCTATTAATAAACCATCAAATTTAAATTAAGCAGATGTTGCTACTTTTGATATTGAAGATAGAATTAATACATAAATGCATTCTGTAGAAAAGGCAGTTTCTAAAGTTTTGGAATAAGTTTTATCTGAAATAATGACATTTAAAGGAAAAAGAATTAATGTACAATTTAGAAATTCTAAGCACAAATAAAAATCATTTGAAACATCTCCAAGCAGTATTTATTTAATATTATTATTTATTAGATTCTTCAGCTTAATAACCAAATTAAAGAAATACTAGTGTACCAAATTTATAGTAATTTCGAACTACTATTCCTGAATAAAGAGAAACTAATACTAATTTATAATAATAATAATAATTATCCCAACATCCCAATTAATCATTATTTAGATAGATTGCTATTAAATAAGCACCAACTTAAACATTATAGAATTCTGCAACACCATCTACTGTATAATCTTAATCTTAATAAATGAATTCAATTTAATAAACTAAAAGATATTAAGGAACATAATTATTAAGAAATCTTAGAGAAAATGATTCAAAAGTATAACATTTAGAATAAAGTGATTAATTTAATTAATTCAAACCGGATGAAAATAATGATGATTTAAAAAATTCTGTTAAATTTATTCCTTCTACATAAGATGATCATTAATTATAAAAATCTTAAACTTCTTTTGGAGTAATTGTTCAACCTGTTTAAACTTAAGGATCTGAGAAATCACCTTGTTTTAAAGTCTAAAAATAAGTTACAATAAATGAAATTGAAAATTAATCAGAAGAAATCAAATAATAAGAAACTGTAGATTTAAAATAATATTATAAAGAAACTTTAACATATTTAGTAGTGGATGATTCAACAGATTTCTTAGATTACAAAGTTAAATAAACACATTAATTAGATTAAAGTATATTATATTCAGATGCTATCAAAAAGATTAAATCAATGTTTGAATTAAATAAAATTTATCATTTTATTATTGTTAGGATTAATCTATCTATAAAAAATGGAATATAAGTAATCAATTATTAAATATTTTAAGTTTATTTAAGAAATAAGATAATTAGAAAATTAACATAATATACCTAAATAATATTTTATTGGTGTTGAAACCAATATATCTTAAACTCTTAAATAGTCTTGTTTAGAAGCTAGTTTTGATGAAGTTTAAGAAAAACCTTTAAAGTCATTATATTTAGAATAATTGATTGCAAAACGTATGAATCCCCCTCCTGCAATTATTTGGAAACCTATTATTGGCAAAAGTTGTTCAATTACAGATTAATAAGAAAAACTAAATTAAATTCATTAAGATCTAGATTAATTTTAAATACCTTAAAAAATAGCTTCATTAAAAGAAATATCAATTACTCCAAAGTAACCACTACTTAGAAAAGCTTTCTATCATCCAATTGTCACTATTTATATATTAGATGATTCAAGTGTACAAATTAGTGCTTTATCATCAATGAAATTTGATTTCAAAGTTAAAGTTGAATTTGATAGAAATGTAGAAGCTGGATTAAAACGTTTAGATAAATTATTTGAAGAAAAGAAAATTTATCATGTAGTCTTAGTAAAAATGAATTTTACAAAAAAAACTGGATTAGAGGTTAATATTTAAATTAATTTAGATATTATAATCAATTAGAGAAATGGAAGAAAAATATTAAGTTCCAAAATAATTTATAGTAGCTATAGATAGTGATTTTACTGAAGATAAAAAATTAGATTTAATCAAATAAGGATTTGATGATGCTTTAACAAAACTTATTGATAAAAGATTTTTAGAAGGAATACTAATAAAAAGATTAGAAGATGAATGAATTTTATGTATATTAAAGCTTAAAATCATTATTACTTTAATTATTGATAATTAATTAATAAATTTTATAAATATATATATATATATTCTATTTTCACTATTTTTTATTTTTCTTTTGATTTCTTTTACCTATCATCCTTTAAGCAACAAGACCAAATAATACAATAGCACAAAAGCCTATAACTTCTTGTCTATATGAACAGAACTGTTCCTATATTTAATATTTATATTATTTTCCAGAAGTCTCATCTTTACAACTTGTAAGAGTAACAAAAAATATAAATAAAACAGTAAAACTTATGATTTCTCTAATTTTTAACTTAACTTTTCTATATAATTTGAAAAATAATTACTCTAATAAATTAAAGTTTGGTCCTTTTTTCTAGAATGCAATTAATTTATATTATGAATTCTTTTTATCAAATTAAAATTCTAGATATCTCTCATTAGTTTTTAAATCTACTATTGTGGTGATTTTTTTAGCACAATATATATGCCAAAATCCAGTTTAAAATAATTAGTGTAATTTGCTCTTTGCTGCAATTACTAAGTCAGTTTCCCAATTTTCATAATCTAATATGATAATTTCATTTAAGCATAATTTCACTTTTTGTATACTATCCATTTCTTATTCTGATATATTCTTTTATGAAATCAATATTGGTTCTGAAACATTGTTTTCTTTTGTTACTCCTTGTAATTTAGTTTATATTTATTTGATTTGACTAAACTAAAAATAATCAACAGGTTTAGCTTGATAAATGAAAATTGTAATATCTTCAATTTTAATCATGAGATATCGATTTTTTTTATGTGACAAATTATATGCAGGCTTAACAGCTATAATAATAATGTATTCAGATTAATATGTATCACTTATAAACTATTGAAGTTTTTCCTCTAAAATATATTTTTATTAATACTAATTTTGTCAACCTTTTTTGTGGTAATCCATTCGTTTAATATATTATTTTAAATAATGCTTGTAAAATATCGAAATTATTGAATTGGCATATCCATTTTTAATTAAACTGAATTCCCTTTTAGATTAACAAGATCTTTGTTCATCAATATGAATAATAGTTATTAATTATAATTAAATTATGAGATGGAATAAATTATTCATTAACTTATAGTATTAATATCTCAAAAATAAAAATTAGTAAAAATTATTCAATTTATTTTTCCAAATTAATCAAAAATCAAAAATTCTAATTTAATATTAATTAACCAATAAAATTCATTTTTTTATAATGATGGAAGATGGCTATATATAAGAGTTGTTTAAACTATTTCGAGAATCATAATGTGTTCAACCTCCTAAAAAACCTATTGGAGCATATGAAAAGTTTGTAGGAAATTATGAATAAGCATGTAAAGATAAAAATCTAAATTACAATACTGAGTAAGCCAAAAAATAATGGGAAAACTTAGAAAAGGAACTTAGAGAAGGTAAAATTATTATAGATTTTAGAATATTATCGATTATCAAAGGAGGATTAAGAGTTGTATGATAAGTTATTCCGTTAATATCATTCTATTTCTAATCTCATTAAAAAAAAGAAAGCTGATGGATCTGTGTTATTTTTTTAAGAAAAAGGAGCAAATGGAAGTTTAACTAATCTTTAATAATTATGGGATGAACTAAGTCTTGATGAAAAATAAATATATAGTTAAAAGGCATAATAAAATTATGAGGACACTATTAAAGTATTTTATATTACTTACTTAGGCTTCAATAGAAGAATATATAACAGAATACTAAAATTATATAAATCATGAAAATGAGAAACCATAAGATTTATAATTTGTTCAAAAAATTGAGAATGAACAAGATGAAATAGATTAAATTGATATCATAATAGGAATAAAGAGAACTAATGGAAAGAAGGAGTATTTAGTCAGGTTTAAGGGTAAAACAGGTAAAGATGCAAAATGGTTCCCAAAAAAGAAACTCAGAAAAGTAAAAGAAATTGTAAAAGAATTTGAAGAAACATATTTTAAATAATCATTTTAGGATAATGAATCTAGTAGTGGATTTGATTCAACACCTCTTGAATAAATTTTCATAGAAAATGATAAAGAAGATCAATAATAATAATAAAAATAATAATAATAACAAATTGAAGAAGTGAAAGAAGAATAAAAAGAGAAATAAAAAGTTAAATCAAAAAGAGAGATATCATCAAAATAAAATTAAATAAAGTAATAAAAAAATGTAAAAAAATCTACTACTCCCTAAAAAATCAATACTTCTACTTCAAAAATTTAAGAAGTTGATAATAAAACCAATTAAACAAGAAGAAATTAAAAAATAAATGAAAAAGCAAATTCTATTTCTAAAACATAAGCTAACTTAAATTAAGAGAAAAATAACAAAAAATAAGATTAAAAAATAAAAAACTAAAAATAATTAGATAGATCAAAAGATGACAAAAAATAAAACGAAAAAAAAATCTCAATAGATAAACCAATTAAATCTGTAAGGGAAACTAAAAGTTCTTAATAGAGTCTACCAAAAATATCTAATAAAAATTAACTAGAAGAGCCTGTTATTAAAAGAGTAAGGAAATAATTGAATGATTAATCAGCAGAAAAATCTAAGAATGAAATACCCTAAAAATCAAAATCTAAAGATGTAAAATAAATCAAATTATAAAATTAATCATAAAAAAAAGAGAGTAAAGAATCTGTTATCACTAAAAGATAGGGAAGAAGTAGAAATAATTCTAATTCAAAATAACACTAATAAACAACAACAAAAATTAATACAAAGAACTAAAAACAAGAAATAAAGGATAATAAATTGGCTATTAAAACAAAATTAGTTGCTTAAAAATAAAGTTTAAATAATTCTAATCATGATTAATCTAATAAAAATAGTATTTAAAAATCAGTAAGTTAATAACAATAATCTAAAAATAAATAAAATTAAAAATAAAGTGCAGTATCAAAAACTAGAAGTACAAGTGCTTAATCGAATAAATTATAAAATAATAATAATTAAAATAAAGAATAAATTTCAGTCAAAAAGCGTTCTCGATCGGTTGAAGTTATCAATAGTATTACTCCCAAAAACCTCGCTATAAATAAGGTAAGTTAAAGTTCAAAGGGAACTACTAAAAATATTAAAAGTCCAAAAAATGCTCCTCCAACTAATAAATCATTAAATAAAATCCAATAAAATTAAAAATTGCAAAGAAGTTAAACTTAATTAAAAAAAGTAAAACAATTAGTTGACGTATAAAATAAAAATTTAATAAGTGCTTAAAAATCTAGCAAGGTTAGTACTTCTTAAAGAGGAGTGCGTGAAAATACTAGAAATAAGAGTGCAATGAAAATAATCAAAAAAATATCAAAAAACAATATCAAAAATAAGGGGAAATAGAAACAAAAAATAACTGAAAAAAAATAAAAAAAAGAATAAGCTAATCCAAAAAATAACATAAAAAATAGTAAAATTATATCTACAGTTACAGTCAGATAAACTAGAAGTAAAAAATCTAAGAATATGGGAAAAAGAAAGCACTGAATGTTGACAATCTTTTGAATTATTAAATATACATTAAATAATATTTTCAATTTAAATGCAGAAAGGTATTAGTGAAAACTTTACAAAAAATCTTAATTTTAATATTGATGATGAGAAATTTTATGTTTTACCACAATAAGGAGAAATTAATTTTAAAGGAAATATACATGAAGAAGTATTTACTTTTTTTTATATTAGGAATTATCATAAAATGATAATATCTAATAACCATTAAGGAGTATTGCAAATGAACTTATAGAAAAAACAATAAAAATAAGATAAAGTTGGATTCTATAGAAACAGGCATATTAATTTAATTTACCACCTTCTTATTTTAAATAAAAAGTAATTATCTAAAGAAATAATGATAAACATCAAATTTAAAAAGAAATCAACTAAAATGATTTTATTCCTTATTTAGAATTTAATAATCAACAATTAAATTAAATAAGACGTGATGGTACTTTTGATGTTTGTTCAAAGAATAATCCAAATATTAAATACAGATGGATTATTTCAAGATGGATTGTAAAAGGAACCAAGAATATTCGAAACTCTTTTTATAAAGATATGTTAAAAGCTGAAGATTGTTTAACAGGATTAGTAGATTTAATTTATAATGATACTAATTTCAACAGTTTATGGAATTATTCAATTATACATGGCATATATATCATTATAAAAGTAATAAGTATTAATATAAATTAGAAATCAATATAGATTCCATCACTTTTCATTGGATATAAAGAGGTGATTAGCAAAGTTTCTAAAGAATCAGCATAACTTTAAATAGAAAGAGAAAGGTAATTATCTTTAAGAAATAAGAATTTGAATTTCTCAATTTATTAATATCTTCACCATACTCCAGAGACTTAATCTGCAGCAAAATTTAAAGTTGATTATATTAAGAATCAACTAAAATATTTTGAATAAGATTGTTGGAAAATAGCTGCATTATTGAGTGATTAATATATCAATAGATAACATTAAAATAATTATGAATATAAAAATTTAGAAGAAAAATATCAAATTAAATATGATTAAAATAAAGAGATTGACGAACTCATAAATGAATAACTTATAAATGCTTAAAAAAGATTTATCTAATAAAATAGTTTAGATATGCCTGAATCAGCTATGAAATAATTATTAGATATTACTGAATGTTATTAATTATAAAGATATTATAAAGAATTATTGAAAGTATTTTTTTGAATTATGATAGAATTAACTTGCAGACTATGAAAATCATTTGATGGAATAATATGAAAGATAGTTTTTCTTTTTAAACAAACCTGAACATCGTTAAAAATACCTTCTTAAAGCATTATAAATTAAAAAGAAGAATTTAAAAAAACAATATTACAATTAAATGATTTAAGAATTAGGCCAAAAGAATATTATTGATAGAAATATTTTTATAGAATTTAATGAAAATAAAAAAACTTATATGAATAGTGTATAAGAATAGATAAAAAAGGTCAATTAATAATCAAGACCAAACATTACTTTTATCATGTTTATATTTTGAAATAATTTTAGAGCTCGTTATATATTTCCTCCTTATCCCATAATTTAAGAAGGAAATAAATATGTATTGGTTTAGGAAGTGGAATATGAGGTAACATCTTAAAATTATTGCTGGAAATTAACTAGTTTTTGCTTAATATATTTTATGTTAATATCTGATAGCCTTTATAGGTTTTATCAATATGGAATAATGGGACCATTTGGACTTAATGCTTTATTTTCAATAAATCCATTTTATAATGATTAAAAAATAAATGAGTAAACTGGAGAAGTTTACGATGATTAATTAATTTAAACAATCTGCTCAACTTTAAAATTAGTATATAAAGGTATGAGATAATCAAGAAAGGAATTTGAGGAATCAGAAGATTCTGGAATGTTTGGTAAGGGTTGTCAAAGAATTTTTAATTTATTGGAAGTCTATATTTTTCGATTCTTATTTGTTGGAGTGTTTTTCACATTAATTCTTTAACCAATGTTAATATTATTCTTTTCAGCATTTTTATTTTTTCTTTTCATTACTTCTTTTATATGGGCTATATTTTTTGCACTTTTTAGGTAATATATATATATATAAATATAATAGAATGATGATATGTATATTATTTTATGATTTTGAGACAGCATTTAGAATTGAATTCAATGATTTAGATTATATTCATCATATACTACCACTTTTCAGAGTTTTCTTTGAAATTATGATAGGAATGTTTGAAATAATAGTATGTTTGATTTTCTTGTTGATTTTTCCTATTTTAGCTATGCTAATAATGTTATTTGGAATTATTAGATATATAATTCGTTCTATGTATGATTGCTTTATGATGACAGTATATATATATATAAATATAAATAATAGTTTGTATATTGTTGTGGAAGAGTACCTCGTCGTTCTGGATGTTTAGTATGGAGATTTGGAGGAGATTACAGTTAGAAAAAAATTGTCTATAATTATCATAAAGTATAATAATATTCTTAAATTTTATATTAGTTAACAAATGAAGAA